AAGTGGCCGAAGATTACACGATATTTGCAGAAACATAATTTGAACATCGAAGATAGACTGGATCTCTGCTGTAGAGTATTCAAATTGAAGCTGGATAATCTTATGGACTATTTATCTAAAGTATTGGAAAAAGTAGATTCAGGTATTTTCAATATTTGCTTATATAAAAGTCTTCTATTATTATTTTACAAAAAAAAATATTAAAAACAAAACATTTGTCATGTGTGATTTACAATTGTGCCATGCTGAGGTATCAAGCTGAGAGAGCTTCTCAAAATTTTTTTAAAATTAGGCTCAATTTATTAGACCAATTACATCAAATACCATTAAAATTAATTTGGTAAGAGATTAGTATATATCAGTTATATATTTAATACTCAAACATTTAATTTGTAAAAATATTTTCTCTCTTTCTACTTTTTATCAACATATTATAAATAATACATAATATTACTTATATTACTAAACATTATATTTCTTATTTCATCTTTCTTTGATCTTCATTTTGTTAAAAAAAAATCATATTATCAATTTAATAATAAGAAAACCTAAATATTTTAATATATACTATAAATCAATTTATTTATAGTCTAATGTTGAACCGGTTAAATAGAACATATTAATATAATTTATTATATTTAATGTGCAATTTCATTCTTATAAAAATTAAAATTAATTATAAAACCAATAATTATCTAACATTTATGCAATTATATTACAAACAAATGTAACTTTTATCATTATTTACAATTGAATAATCAGTATATATATTTGTAATTATAAATATAATTATGATTAATATTTCTTCCGCACATGATGCGGGTAATCATCTAGTTATTTTTAAAAGATAAAATTCTTTACATCAAAACTTAAAAAAAAAAGACAAAGAAATACTAAGCTCTTTTTTACAAGTTTCTCAATAATTTAGTTGATATTTTGTTTTTTTTTTTTGGGCTCAGCAATATATACACGATCGAGTTTCAAAAAAGAGGTTTATCGCATGCACATGTTATACTTTTCTTGGATCCATATTCTAAAGTTCTAACCAGGGATGACATTGACAAGTTTATTTTCGCAGAAATTCCAGATAAGGATTTAGAACCTCATCTTTATGAAGTGATAAGTGATTCTATGCTACATGGACCATGCGGTGAGTTAAATAGGAATAATGTGTGCATGCAGGATGAGTCGTACCATCTGAGGGTGTTGCTTAATATTGTCAAGTGTCCCGCTTTGAGCATCTACGCACAGTGAATGGAGTTATTCATCCTAATTTTAAAGATGCATGTTATTCTCTAGGGTTGCTTGATGATGATAAAGAGTACAATGAGGCTATTAAGGAAGAAAGTTTATGGACATCTGGAAAGTTCTTGCGCCGATTATTTGCTATTATTCTGGCTTCTAATTCTGTCACTGCACCTCAAGATCTTTGGAATTCAACGTGGGAATATCTTACCGATGATATCTTATACAATATAAAAAGAAAGAATAAAAATCAAAGTGCATTTCCTAAATGTCTTTTTTTATATATTTCTCTAAATGATTATTCCTATCCTAATAGATTAATGATTTTTCTATTGCCTTACAGATTAATTATGTCTGATATGCAGTTGAAGAATCACACATTGTTTAATATAGAGAAATATATGCGTCGAAATGGAAGTACTTTAAAGAATTTTGACACAATGTCTCGCCCAGATGATGTCTCCTTCGAAAAAGACAAGAATCCTCTTATTCTCGAAGAAAAAAGTTATGATCGTGAGAAGTTACGTGCAGAACATCGAAAAATGTTGAAAACCATCACCGATGAACAATGGAGTATATGTGATCAAATTATTGGAGCAGTGAACAACGATACTGGTGGTATGTATTTCGTATACGGTTTTGGCGGAACGGGTACAACATTTTTGTGGAGTATTCTTGGTGCTGCTCTTAGATCTGAAGGCATGATAGTTCTTAATGCGTTAAGCGGGATATCATCATTGCTATTGCAGGGAAGGCGAACTGCCCATTCTAGATTTGGCATCCCGATTGCTGTTAATTCAACTACAATGTGCTCAATAAATAGCAATTCACCCCAGGCTGATTGATAAGAGAAGCTAAGCTTATTATATGGGACGAGGCTTCTATGATGAGTAAATATTGTTTTGAGACTCTAGATAGAAGTATGCGTGATATACTAAAAACCGATAACATTTTTGGTGGGAAAATCATTGTATTTGGTAGAGATTTCAGGCAAATATTCTCTGTTATTATCGGAGGTAATAGCACTCAAACTCTTATGGCTACCATAAATTCTTCTATCCTATGGGACAGTTGTACGGTTTTGGAACTAACCAAGAATATAAGGCTTCAAAATGGTGTTGCAGATGATTGCGTTAATGAGCTAGAGTCTTTTTCGAAGTGGATTTTGGACGTAGGCGATGGCAAAATTAATTTGAGTAACAGAATTGAAATCCCTGACGATTTACTGATAAAAGAATGTGTCAATCATGTTAAAGAGATAGTAACAGAAGTGTATGCTGATTCATACAGATTGGAGAGAGACTTGAAGTTTTTTCAAGATAGAGCAATTTTCAGCCCGAGAAATGTAGACGTGAGATTAATAAATGAATACGGAGTTGCTTGGTATGGATTTTTATTTTAGACTTTTACTTAAAAAATAAACTGTACAAAACTGTGACTTTAGAAAATTAAAATTTCTACAAACGTAGATTTTTTAAAAAAATTACCCATATCCCTAAACTTCAACTATTCCAAATGGTGCGGATTCCTATCCGAGAAATTTAGTTGCCCAAATTCATACCTGAATCCCTAAAATTTGGACAATTTATACATGTACTAATAATTTTAAACGAATATAGACATTGACCCACATCCTGTTAGTCAACGATCCCATTCCGTTAACGGTGAGTAGTCTCGTGCCACTCCTCGGCACTGTTAGCACCAGATGTTAAAACGACGACGCTTTGACATTTTGGGTGTTGTAACTTTTCTTATTTTTTAAAGGTTTTGAATTGTTAAATCGTTAGGAAGTTTGTAATCCTTAGTAATTGTTTCTCATCTACCATGGTGAGAAGTTTGAGAAATTTTGAAGATAACTTTCGAAGAGGTGATGATATTAGTGGTGGAGTTCGAGAGTCAAAATTAAACCCTAAATGTCGAATTACCTCATTTTTTCTCAAACTCAGAAGATGAATTATATCTCTGGAGTTAAAATTTGTTTCTTTTTCTTCTACTACAGTAGATTTCGTGAATCTAACCATGATTTTTTATGAATCTTAGACCCTATTACTCTCTGTATATTGGTCTCCCTCCTCTAAACAACGACAAATAATTATCGGGGAAGATAAAATTTTAATTCTGTACCTTTTACAAAACGACGTCGTTTAGTTTATTTTTGCTTATTAAATGTCAAAACGTCGCCGTTTTAACACCCGATGCCAACTATGCAGTCGATGTGGCACGAAACTACTCTCCGTTAACGGAATGGTATCGTTGACTAACGAGATGTGGGTCAATGTCTATATTCGTCAAAAAACAGGTCTGAATTGTCCAAATTTTAGGGATTCAGGTATGAATTTGGGTAACTAAATTTCTCGGGTAGGAATCCACACCATTTGGGACAGTTGAAGTAGGAATTGGCTGTTTTCCCAAGGAACATACATATTTTAGCTCAGACAGTATTGATACTTCTGATAAGGACAAGATTGACGAAAAAGTCTACACCCACTAATATCTTAATAGTATTAAGATCTCAGGATTGCCGAACCATGAACTGAAATTGAAAATAGGAACACCTATTATGTTGCTTCAGAATATTGACCCTATATGTGGTTTATGCAATAGAACAAGACTCTTGGTGACACAATTGGCCAAACATGTTATTCAAGCTAGCCACATAACTGGTGGGTATATTGGTTATAAGGTTTTGATCCCATAAATGTTTGTTTTCCCCACTGGGACAAGGTTTCCTTTTATAATGAGGCGTAGACAATTCCCACTAGCTATCGCCTATGCAATGACTATCAATAAAAGCCAGTGACAGACTTTGCAAAAGGTTGGACTGTATTTACTAACACCCATTATTTTCCATGGACAACTTTATGTGATTATATCACGTGTTACTTCGAGAGCTGGTTTGAAGATCCTAATAACGGATATTAAGGGTACGTCCAAACCAAGACTTTGAATGTTGTATATAAGGCTGTATTTCATAATGTGAGGAAACGATAGTTTATTTTATTTGTTTAGGTTTAGACTTTTACTAATTAAATGATTTGTTTTAATGAAATTTTAGTTTACTTATGTTTCAGAATTGATATTTTTTCTCTTTTTTTTATTAATGGTTGTTCTAATTATCGGAAATTGATACTTTTAAAAGTATTATTATTAAAATATAAAAAATTATGGGTGTATTAACTAGATCACAATAACAATAAATACTCTCTAAAATTTTAAATGTTTATATAAAAAAATATCAAAATATATCATTTTAAAAAATTATATATAACTTATAAACATATCAATAACAAGGGTTATCGCCTCTAATCAGCATTACAAGTTCGCGCTTGACGCGGATCTCCACTTAGTATAAACTTATAAAGTAACAAACAACAAATGTACGTACCACAATTTCAAAATCAAGTAACCATACCGAACCAAATCTGAAAAGACCCAAACCGGCTAAGGAAAGTTGTAAGTCGACAAATGGAAAGTGTGAAAAAAAAACATAAGTAAGTTTTTCCCGGATATCCAATCGGTTCTCAGGTATTACCGGAACAAACCCGATACCCGAACTAAATTGAAAGAAGATCCAATCGGTTAATTAAGGCATATTATCCGATACAGATCCGACCTTCTGCTTTTTCGGGTCGGGTCAATTCGGATTTTCGGGTCCGGATAAAATGCCCAGGCAGCTTAATGAGTTGGGTAAGTCAACGGGGAGAGAAGACCAATGAAGTCTCTTTTACTCGTTTGGTAACAGTTTGGTTAAAAGCACAGAAACATCCCAAAATCTTATTCCATTTGATTACAAAAAAAAAAAAGTAAAAAAATAAAGACACAGAGATCCGACCATCGGAGCAAGAAGAAACCTTCATTGTGATTCCTTCATATGGTGAGTGATTTTTGTTTTTCACTCCATTCCGATTTTGGCTGATTTTAATTTCACAATCGTTAAAAAACTGTGGATTTACAGATGTCGGACGGAGGAGCACCGTCGAGGTACGTGAAATTGACGAAGGAGCAAGCTCCGGTCGATGAGGTGAATCCCGGCGAACTCAATCAACCGATTCAGGTTCCTCATGTATGTCTCTCTTCTCTACTGATCTGATTTCAATCTCAAGTTATTTCTTGGACTCGATTACTCTCTGATCGATAATGTAATTGCAATTCTATGACTTCCGACAAAGATCTATCATTCGTGTTCATCAACTGACCAATTTTGATTTATGTTTGTGTTTTTGTCCGATTCCATGATCGATTAGTTTTTTGTGCTTTGACTCTTTATATCAATTTCCCAATCCGATCTATTTAGATCTGTGAATGCTTGTTTCTCTGCAACAGCTAGCTGTTCACAAATGCAACGAGTGTGGCCAAGCTTTGCCTGAGAATTTCGAAGCTCCTGCAGATGAGCCATGGACTACCGGAATATTCGGCTGCTTTGAGGACATGAACAGTTGTAAGTTTTTGATCTCTTTATATAGCCAACATCAAAGTGATTGATCCACAAGAACTAAGAGCTTAGTTCAAGACCCTTTTGAGAGATTGCTCTCTCTCTTTATTGTTTCGGTTTTAAACTGTTTATACAGTTTGGCAGGGACATGAACACTTGTAAGTGGTTGATCTGTACATAACCAACATCAATATGATTGATGTCACTAGAATTAAGAGCTTAATCTGACATTTTCAGTGTTATTCTTGGAGACCATAACTTGCTTCCATGTCTTTCTAAACTATTTATACAGTTTGGCAGGGACTCTTTTGCCCGAGTGTTCTATTCGGACGTGTCTACGAAACTCTGAGCGACGAGGAAACCTCGTGGACCAAAGCATGTATTTGCCACTCGATTGTCGTAGAAGGTGGCCTAACAGCCGCGTCGATAGTTGCTTGTGTTCCCGGTATTGATCCACACACATCGTTTCTTGTATGGGAAGGCTTGTTGTTTGTTTGGTGGATGTGTGGAATTTACACTGGAAACGTCAGGCAAACTCTACAGAGAAAATATCATCTCCAGGTATATATAATCAATCACAAAGTTTTCATAAAACCATGTAAAAACGAATCACAAAGTTTGTAAAATTTGTCTCTCTGTGTGTTTTTGTGTGTTTGATGCAAAACAGAACTCGCCATGTGATCCATGTATGGTGCATTGTTGCCTACACTTTTGTGCGGTTTGTCAAGAACACCGTGAGATGAAGAACCGGCTCTCGGATAACTTTGTGATGCCTATGACCGTGGTTAACCCGCCACCGGTTCAGGAGATGAGTGCCTCTAATGACAGAGACAGACATGACTCTGTTCCGGTATCGCACCATAGCTCTGATCTCGAGATGCGGCCATTGTAGTTGTCTCAATGTTACAACCATTGGTTTCAAGGTCTTGTTTTTGTTTTTTTTTTTTGGTTGTTGTTATGGACCTGATGATGATGCATTGGTATAATGAGGATGATATGTAAAAACGTATTTTGTTGTTTAAAAATCATGATTTTATAGATTAGATTATTATGAACTTAGCTTCTCTTTTCTATTTATGAGTTTATCCTTATCGCAAAAATTAAGGATATAAATTAGTATTTATCGCCAAAAGATATGTGATTTTGAAATATTCTCTACTTACACGTCGCTTGTTTTGATAAAATCCTCCTTCTTTTTGGATAAAAACATAAACACATGTAAAGAATCGTTAAACGTTTTTCCATTATTTCTTCGAAATTCCTAGTCCTATCAAAATAACGAAATACTTTCTTATAAGTAACAATAACTAGGACGTTAGGTACGCAAAAGTCTTTGATACAAAGAATCACAGAACAATCTTCAGAAGATGATCGGAAGAGACGGTGGTTCGATTCCGGACGGTGACTTAACGGCGGCGGAATCACGAGTTTCTGCATCGTTACCATGTCTACGGAAGAATATAGTCGAAGCTGGAATGAGAGATATCTTCTACGGCGAAGATGACGGGGAAGATTGGATGTTTAGAGAAGAAGTTGAACAAGACACGGTGATGAGAGCTTATAGAAGTGACGAAGCCATGAGATCTTTCCAAAACACAAGACTAAGAAGAAGAAGAAGAACGTTCTTTGGTTTTGAGTGTTTTGACTTTCTCAGACTTTTCTTCTCTAGAAATCAGAACTAATAACCCTAAGTCCCTAACATACAAAATCTTGTAAATTCTTTAGCTTTATAATTTAGAGATCCAAATTCTAATGAAAAAGTTTGAAATTTGACGAGAGTTTTATTATTATACATAACAACAGAACATTGCAATACATAAGAGTTTTTTTCCTGAACATATATATGACTACAAATTTGTTATCACCAAAGGCTAATTGTACAACAGAGTAATAATAATGGGCCCAAGAAAGAAGATAAATATAACTAAGAGTTTGTGTTTGTCTATATCAAAGAGTTTTTCAGGGTTACCATAACTATAATAAGATTTTACACTCAATGCATCATCTCTTCTTGAAGAATTTGCTGCCTCTCTTTCCGATTCCGGCACCTTCGAGTCTCGATGAAAGATGAGACCTTGTGTCTGGTCTCCACGTCAGTTCTTTGAGAAGGGAGAACAAAGACGAGAGCGCCGGTGAAATCTCGCTGTCTTTTATGTTCTTACATGACACGACTCTCATGCTCTCAAGCTCTTCCCAATGCAGAATCACTGACTCTAAACCGCTTGTTGTTAAGACCGAGCATCCTTCCAAAGACAGAAACCGAACCCTCCTGCAATGAAATAGCGATGATTAAAAAGGCTTATCTTTAGCATCTCGAAGCAGAGCTAGGAGAAGAGTTTCAGGGTTGGGTGCAAGAGAGCAAACAAATCAAAGCAAGCATTCAATGCTATTCACAATCCATAGTTAACCATATTATGCGCAACATCAATACCAAGTTTAAGTTTTTATGGCCGAATTAAGTTAAACTACATGTTCTTATCTCGGAGAAGCTGCGTTTGACTAAAAGGAGTAATACTTTACTATGTCTTCTGGTCATCAAAGCAGCCATTTGAACAACAAACCATGAATTCAATAATTGAAAGGGAAAACAAACGTATAATGATACCTGAAAGCTTTAGCCAAGCTGAAAGAATCATCATCCAATCCCCAACAATCCTGAATATGAATCTTTCTTGCTCCATCACAGACCTTAAACAAAGCTCTCATCCCGTCCTTGTCATTCAAACAACACCTCTCGAGAAGCAAACTCTCCAGAGCCGGACAAGATCCAAGCAGCTTATCCGGTCCAGGGCTAGGATCCATCTTCTTACACGACGAAACTCTCAGCGTCTTCAGATTCTCAAAGTACGAAAGCGCAGGTATCCAACCATTATCCATTCTATGATCACAAATGGTCAGTTCATCAAGCACTTCACAGCATTGCCCAATCGCTTTAACCCCATCGAAGCTACCTTCACAACCACTAAGCTCCAGCTTCACCAGCCTCTTACACCCTTGTGCTAGAATCGTCAAGCCTATATCGGAAACCGATGAGTTATACAGCCCGTCTACGCTCGCAACCAATCTCAAGGCTCTCAGATTCTCGAAAGCAGCGATTCCACGCAAGAGATTATCGTTGCACTTGTGCAATTCCAGCTCTTGCAAATCAGAACAGTCCTCAGCTAAACAAAGCAATCCCAATTCAGTAGCGTTAATCAGTACGAGCTTGAGTAAATCACAGCTCCCTCTTCCTAAAACCCTAAGCCCTCTATCAACCATTTCGCTGTTCAACAGATTCTCCTCGACGAAATCCCAATTCGACGAATCCGAAGAAATATGAAACGAAATCGACTTGTGACATAGCAAAATACCCGAGTTTTTTCGCGGCGGATTCAAACACGCGCTCGTCAGATCAACGTTCGTGAGCTTGGGAAACCTAGAGACGAGCTTCCCGGACAAGAGAAAATCCCAATCGAAAAGCTTGACAGACCGTAGACGTCGTCCCTGGATTTTCAACCAGCGTTTGCATACAAGAGACAAATCGTTTTTTTGGGAATCGGGAAGCTTTTGGAGGATCTTGAGGAGGAGAGAGTCGGGCAAGGAGAGTGTTCGATCGATATCGGTGAAATCGAAATCGGAAGATAGGGATTTGGACCTGGATCTCGGCGATTGAGCCTGAATAACGGCGGAGACTACTTGCTTGAAAGACGTCGTCGGGTGGTTCAGCCATGACCCGGTCCAGCTCGAGCGTCTCTTTCTCAGCGGCGATTTGGGACTCGTCGGCATCTTCTCTCGAAACGACATCGAATCACAAAACTTCAATCGATTCTTCTCTGCTCTTTAATGGCGATTTTTTTCGCAGATTACGAACTGTTCCAACGGATACTTTGAAAGAGACGATTGAGAGAACGAGAGAGAGAGAGAATGAGAGTTCGAATTTTCTTTTTTGTTTTTTTGGCTAAAATGAAAAATTAAAAAAAAAACAATAAAAAAGAAGAAGATAAATTAGTGTTTAGCACATCTCCACTTAGAGTTGTGTGCACATCTCCCACTTATTTTTGTTTTTTTGGTAAAAATCTCCCACTTAAAATTGTATTAATTAGTCCACTTAACTTTACTAATTAGCCTTAAACACATACTTACAACCTTTAAAATGGTAATCAGCATATTGCCAAAGTAAAAAAAAAAAAAATTCTTCTCCAATCTTTAAGTTTAAGGCAGTTGACTTTCAGATTTCTTTTATCTTCTAGTGCGTGCATGTGTGACTGTGTTCATGTTATGTTAATGGCTAGAGAGAGTATTAACAGATTTGACATTTTCACAATGTTTTTGGTTAAATTTCGAAATTATTGATTTTTACAATGTTTTTGGTGAATTTTTGGACGACATAAGTGTGAAGAAATATTTGATTCGACTTGGTTTTTAATTTGTTATGTGATCTTCTAAAAATGTTTGGCTAATTTAGAGGTTCATGTATGTATAGAGTTAGCTACGTGTAAATTATCCACATATATATGGATATTAGAATAAAAACTTTATATTTTTTTGTAATATAAACTAGATGTTTGGTATGCATATTGTGCGAATAGAGAGATTGCATTAAATAACCGGTTAGATAATTAAAGTTATTACTAATAATAAATCAAACATAAATAATAATAATAATAATAATAATAATAATAATAATAATAATAATAATAATAATAATAATAATAATAATAATAATAATAATAATAATAATAATAAGTATTTATAGAAACTAACGAAAACCAATTATAGTATCAACACCACAAGGATAATTAATATAAAATAAAAAAACGGTTTTAAAAATAATCTAAACTACTATTTTTATATACAACATTTATAACTTTCCATGAATTTATTGATTGAGTTCTTTATTTGATATTATGATTAATTCTTCGTTCTCCATAGCCAGAAGTTTTATGAGAATTGTTTCTTTTTTTTATTAGTTCTTATCTTTAAGGCAAACACATGCAAGAGATAATAATATTATACCGTAGGTAAATAATTTTTTTGATAGTCTTGATACCATGTTAAATTTTATCTATAAGATAATTATTATTTGTATAAATTAAGTTTATGCATTATTTTGTTTATTTATTCTTTAGTCTCAATTTTTTTCTTTTTTTTTTTGGTGAAATTGACTCTCCTAGTCAATTTTTATCTTTCTCGTAAGCATGGACATGAAACTATTTTATCCGACCATATGTACTTAACCAATCCTTTTTGCTAGCTTTGATACCATATTTAGTTTCATCTATGAAATTATCATTATATTTATACTTTAAGTTTAAAGATAATTTTAGTTATTTGTTTTCCAAACCTTTCTCCCTATTTCACAGATATCTCTCCTTGTTGGTACTTATCTTTTATGCGAGCACAAACACAAAACTTTGATATCAGAGCGTAGGTAATTAAAAAACTTTTTGGTAGTTCAGATATCATGTTAAGCTTCATCTCTTAAGTTGTCATTATTTGTATTGGTTTATGGTCGATTTGCATTCATGATTATTTGGTAGCATACCGAACCGGTTTGATTAAACCAGCAGTTATGAGAAATTAGTTTTTATAACTTCCTTAAATGAAGAGTTGTGACTCTACAGACTGTATCTTTTCATTAAGTATATATATGAGACATTGCAGAGAGAAATAATATGTATGTGTACAATAGTTTGTGACTGTTGGTAAATAAAGAAATTAGTGAGGAAAGAGAAAATGTTTTTTAGAGAGAGAAATCTTGGAGAGATCAATAGGAAGGACATTTGAACGGTGATAAGTGGTTGATTTCCATCTATGATCTCTTCCCCGATCTTTGCGTTCGTTTTCAGATCATATCGAGTCATATTCATCGCTAAACCGGGTAAAGATATGTGTTTGCTTTAAACGATTCCGCATAAAACTCTTACATTGGTATCAGAGCATTAGGATTCGGTTCTGGAATGAACACGTTCATAGTAATCATGAATTAAAACCGCGATATGTTAGTCACCCTCATTCATGATGAATTGGAGAAAATAGTTAATGCTCACATGATTGAAAATGATAAAATTCGCGAATATATGATGAAATGAATTGAAACTTTGCATAAACGTTCGCCATATAGGCTTGAATGATTCTAGAAAATATCACTTTGAGAACCGTAATAGATTGCATGAATTTGGAAAAATAGTGAGAAAACCAGAAATATTGTTTCGTTCATATCGCTCTGTTTATAATTCGGAATTACGTGATTTTGTTTCCGTGTATATATATTGAAATTATCTTTCGATTGATATATAGAACACATGATTTGGTTATATATTTAGAGAGATATTAGGGTCAAATTTTTTCAGACATTTTTGCTGTTAAACATTGTCTTTTAAGAAGATGATGAACAGTAACCCAAAAAAAATCTGAATTAAAAAATATGATCATAATTTTTTTATATATATGTTTTATTTGGTAATATAAAATACATTGATCAAGTGGGAGTTCTGATTAGTTTAGAACCTAAAATTTTACATGAAACAAATTAATTTATTATAACAAATTTTTGATACGAGTGATGATTGGGAACATAGTGAACTCTCGATCTCATATCAAAATTGAGTTATTTTGGATTATTTTGTGTTCATGGCAAAATTATATGGTATATGTTAAAAGTATGCAAAAAAAGTAATGTTTCTAGGTGTTCAAGCAGATATGTCGTCTACTTGTAAGAACATCATTGCTGAGCTCAACCGAGGAGATAAGTTGGATGGTGAAAATTGTTGGTGGTGTACTTCGCACCTCCGGTTTAAGCTGGTATTAATCAAGACCGGTCCGGAAAGACCTCGGTTTACGAAGATTGGAATCAAAGTTAAATCGGGTGGGCCGACATACGACTTTCTAGAAGGTTCATTAAAGCCCAGTTTAAGAAATTGGCTGACCTTTCCGAATTTCACGGAGGATTTCCGAAAATATCGAGGAAGAGAAATGTTAAATCCCATATCGAGAAGGAAAAGGAAAGTTCTTCTCAAACCGCCTTAGAATTCGTATAAATAGGGGAGGACTTCATTCATTCTAGATATCCACAAATCAAGAGCAGAGAGAAACCTTCGAAGAACTTTGAGATCGTCAATTTTATTTTGAGTTCTCCTTTTATTAACGAGGTCGTTGAAACTACGACGACCTTAACTCAAGTTGTATTTTTTTCGAACTATCTTCTAATAAAACGAGACTTTTGATTCGAATATTACTGTTTTACCCCTTAGTGTGATATTATATATCAACAACAATTATAATATTTGGTATCGAAAAGTCCAGTATGTCCTCGAGGAGCAAGAGGTTAAGGAGACTCTTTTCCATCACATGGAAGAGCCTGAGCAGGATACCACAGCTCAACATGAGAAAGATCACAGGGTATATGTTGCCAGGAAAAGAAAGAATAGCATTGCTCGCATCACATTGTTGAGTTGTATGCAAGATGATCTCATGTGTTAGTTTGAAGAGTATGAAACTGCGAAAGACATTAGGGAGGCCTTGAAAGATAAGTTTGGTGCCACATCGGCTACTAAACTTAGGAGACTTAATCAAAGGTTTAATGATTATAAAAAGCATCCAAATCAATCGATGAGGCAGCATCTTAGAATTATGTCAAACATGATTAGAGAGCTCAAAAATGCTGGTCAGATAATGTCTAATGAACAGCAAGTCCATATGAAGGTTCAGATGACACACAATGAAAATGTAAAAACATTTGAAGATATATCACATCATCTTGAGTTAGAGGATGAACGCTTAGAGGCATCCAAGTCCTTTAACGAGGCCAACTTTGCAAGTTCAAACTCTGGTATGAAACGTGAGAAAGGTAACATGGGACACAAGGCTCTCTATCAGTCTGAACTTAAGAGGCAAAAGAAAGATGCCAAGCGTGGTAAGCGTTGAGGCAAGAAGGATAAGACCAAAATGAAGTGCTACAACTGTAGCTTATTGGGTCATTTTGCTCGTGAATGCACTGAGGCAAACAAGGTATTATCCTTGAACTCTACTTGCAAATATGCTTATGTTTCTAGTTGTGTAATGCCTACAGAATCTCATCCTTTGTGGATTCTAGACTCAGGAGCAACAAACCACGTAGCTAGAAGTCGAGAAGTATTTGTGGAGTACCGACGAGTACTTAAAGGAACGAGATGGTTGTATGTGGGAAACAACCTCAAAGTTGCGGTTCGGGGTATCGGCACTTGCCAGCTACACATGTGTGGCGGAAAAACCCTTATACTACACGATGTTTTTTATGCTCATAAAATCCATCGGGACATGGTCTTTGTTTTTACTTAAGTTAGAATTTGGTTTGAACTTCCATGACATGTGTTTACACATTTCTCTAGGGTCTGTGTTCTTTGGTTCTGGTTATTCTTGTGATGGTTTTATTGTACTTTATTGTACTACAAAAATATTACTACTACAAGTAATTTTGATCATTGTTTTTCATATGTCACAAGTTATACTAATGTCTATATGAATGTGTGGCAAGACTTGGTCACATTGGAATTGATCGAATGAATAGATTGGCTAGAGAAAGTCTTCTAGACTCACTAGCCCGAGTTGATCTTGACACATGTGAACCATGTTTGGCTGGAAAAGCAATAAGAAAACCATTTGGAAAAGTAACTAGAGCTGAATTTCTATTGAAATTAGTCTATTCAGACATATGTGGTCCGATGAATGTGAGGGCGAGGCATGGATTTTCATATTTCATCACTTTTATTGATGATTTCACTCGATTCGGGCATGTGTACCTAATTTCTCATATGTCAAAAGCTCTAGAATGCTTTAAACGATATATCATTTTGGTCGAGAATCAGTTGAAGAGGACGATCAAGTGTTTGAGAA